GGTTCAGTTGCAAAGGCTTCTCAGTGCCTGGCTTTTTTCTTCATTCTCAAGGAATTTGCCTCTCAAAACAGGCATTTTATTCAGCCACTTGACATCCTCTGTGGACGCTTATTTAACTCTTGTGTTTAACCAGCTAAACATAGGATGACTCAGAAAGCGAGTAGTAAATAAGCACTAATTCTCAGAGTTGTCAGGATTGCCCAGAAGTGAACTTTAAGAAGTAGCTGGCATTCACATCGTGTTGATGTTGTTGTTGTTGTTAATTCTGACACCTTGTTGATCTTGTCACTTTCTCTCTAATGGTTTAATTTTACTATATGTGGTCTTATAACAAAGCAGTGAATTTAGCACTTCCGTAGGCTTGTGATCTAGCTTCCGAAAGCAAGAGTCTAGTTTTAGTGAGTTTTTCCTTTTACTTTTTAATAAGTAAACCTGCATTACAGATAATTACAGAAATTTAAAAGATTCTAATTTCACACAGATATTGGACTACTGATCACCTTTTTAATGTCAAGTCATCAGGAGGGTTTTATTTTTCCTATTTCTTAATCAAACAAAATATATCTTCATATTTTTAAAGTTCCATAATGCTCAAGCTCTACAAGATAGCATAGTGGTTAGGCCTTGGGCTGTTAACCACAAGGTCAGCAGTTTGAAATTTCCAGGCACTCCAAGAGAGAAAGAGAAAGCTTTCGGCTTCCCCCAAGAGTTTTACACAGTCCTCATTAGATACAGGTTCACCTGGAGGCCACAATGGAAGTGTTTCTCCTGCATGTCACCGTTCAGAGTCATAGGGGAGCTTTCACAGTCGTCGGGACCCAGGCTCCTTCTGTCTTCTTGCTCTGTTCTCTTTGACATGAAACTTCCTTTTTATATGACATATTTATATCCTGGCCAGTACAAATAGGTGAAAAGAGAAAGAGGAAGGTATATTCCATTTCCATGGAGAGGAAGACTAGGATGTTAGCCTGCATTGTTTCTGCTCAAAGTCCATTGTTCAGAATCTAGTCGCATGGCTGTAACTGGTTGCAAGGGAGACTAGAAAAAGTGTCTTGGGAAGCAGCCAAAAGAGGGGGCAATGGGAATCTAGTATGCTTACTGTGTGCTAAGTAACTATCGAGGGAGATAGAGGGGAGGAAGGAGTGATTTGGAGGGAGTAGTTGGTTTGGTCTGAAGGGATTAGCATCAAGCCCTCTTGTCTGAAAATACCATGAATATGAATCCCATATACATTCTAAAGAATCAGAATACATTCTGCATATATTCTTCTGTGCTTTTGCAATTGCAGCCCCCTTTGCCTGGGATTCTTTGTCTTCCACCATTTCCCAGTGGATGCAATTCTACTTGTGCTTTCAGGCTAACAAGAGTGTTCCCCGCCCTGAAAAACTGTGTGTTCTTCCAAAGGAAGAGCTGCTTCCTTTGCAGACTGGCAGCACTCATACACGCCGTGTCCCATCCTCTGCTGTATTACAGAGGAAGGCGCAGATTGTATGGTAGTTGCATCTGATTGCCAACACCCAGGGCAGTGCCAAGAAAATAAATGGTGCTCAATAAGTGTTTCCTGGTTCAAATCTGGGAGCACTTGGCATCCTTTAGTAGTTTCTTGAGTGGCGCGATGGATAATTTCTCTGAAGAAAAGGAGGTCTCTACATAGTGTGTCTAATAAAGTCACAGCGAGTAAAAAGGTGAATTTCAAATCCAATTCAGAGCCAAAGAAGACATTATTTCCCCGGTGTTCTCATTTAATTCTAACTCTGAGTTCATTCCTATTCCTTATTTTGTTTTGGTTATTCAAGTTACTAAGTGTGTCATGTTAGGGGTAAAGAGTCCTTAAAAAGCTTGAACTGTAATTATATATTCTCTTATAATTCTGGCTATATTTTCTACATGTTTCTTTTGAAATTCTAATTGAAAACCTGCTTCCTGGGAATATATTATGTGATCTAGGAAGTGATATGATTTCCCCCCCCAAGACTTACTTGCAATACAATTCAGATTTATTCTTTTTTTATTAATTAAATACTTTTATTAGGAGCTCTTACATCTCTTATCACAATCCACACAATCATCCATTGTGTCAAGCACATCTGTACACAAGCTGCCATCATCATTTTTAAAGCATTTTCTTTCTACTTGGGCCCTTGATATCAGCTCCTCATTTTTACCCCTCCCTCCCCCACCTTCCCTCCCTCGTGAACCCTTGATAAGTTATAGATTATTGTTTTCCTGCCTTATATCATCCTCTATTACCCTTCATCCACTTTGTTGTTCGTCCTCCTGGGAGGGGGTTATATGTTGATCCTTGTAATCGATTCCCCCTTTCTCCCCCTACTTTTCCCTTATCCTCCTGGTATCTCTATTCTTATTGTTGACCCTGAGGGGTTTATCTCTCCTGGATTTCCTGTGTTGCAGAGGATAAACCTATTATTCTTTAACTCCAAGACTCTGATGAATCATAAAATCATACTCTGGGCTGTCTGCCTATCATCTATCATTTCCCTTTAAGTAAGATATAAAAAGCTGCAGGGTTCTCACTCACACTCACTGCCAACTCAGAGCAATCCGACAGGGCTGGGGACAAATGGCCCTGTGAGTTTTTGAGACGATGACTTTTGAGAGTAGAAAGCCCTATTTTTCTACCATGGAGCAGCTGGTAGTTTTGAACCGCTGACCTTGCATTTAGCAGCCACCTTATAACCACTGCGCCAGCGGGGCTTTCCTAGACTATGTCTATAAATTGTGTGAATTACTATTGCTTGTGTTACTGACAGATGCAATACTATTACCTACTTTACTGGTAGACTCAACACTTCCTTAAGCATTTGGGCTTCAGCTATTGGTCTGTAAAATTAGAAGATGATCCTAATGTGGTGTGGAGTAATTCTACTCTTAACAGTCTTCTTCTAGTTAAAAAGTTCATGGGAAAATTCCAGTATCAGTAAGTCCACTTTTTTCCTGTGAAATTTTTCAAGCCTCCTTGGAGAGAGCTATTACTTTAAATCACAGGTTTTTAAGAAAATGTAGATTAGGTATTGAGAATTAATCGGTTTCCATATTCCATGGGTCAAAATGGCATGTTATTAGGTATGTTAGGTTGGATTGTCTAGAGAAACACCACCAGTGGCACTCATGTATGTATAAGAAATAGGAAATAGCTTCATATCAAGAGATGGTTTCATGTCAAGAAGGCACCTCCACAGTACAACTCAAGTCCATTGGTCCAGTGGTAGTCAGAGTCCCAGTGGTAGTCAGAGTCCACTTGGGACACCTGCAGCTGCAGGTCACCCATGCAGAAAGGTCAAGTGAGAGGGAAGGAGATCACCTGCTGGGGGCTGCAGAGTTCTGTAGATTCAAGGCCGGTGGGAACATGGCAGGATGCCCATTGCTCCCAGGGCCCACAGCCCACAGGAGGCCGTCTCCAGGCAGACACAGAGTCCAAGCGAGCAGGGAGGTGAAGGGCAAGAGAGAGCACGGCAGGGTCCCAGTTTCTCGCTTATAAAATGGCACCTCAGGAAGGGAGCACCATCAGGCTGTGACCTGCTTGATAGGTTGGACTCCACCCTTTCCCTTTTCTCCGGGTACCAGTTGTCATAAAATCTAACCAGCAACAGGAGGTGATTTTAATCTGCTGGGCTCACTTCGGTGACTGCCTTGACATGAAATCATTAATCATTCTTGAGCATGTGGAGGGACGCGGACAAAGTGGGCACCTTTGGATCAGTAGCCGTGGCCCAGTGAAAGGTGTTGGAGTTGTGCATAGCATACAGATGAACCATCTTTGCCCAGCCACGTAATACTTCAACTGTGTCACCCGAATCTTATGCATTTGGTTGCTAGCGTGGTTGAGCATATATACACACAGTAAAGCCGACGCCCATTCAGTCGTTTCTACGGTTCCAACTTTGTGACCATTACATCCTTTGTGCCATGCAGCTTTGCTCCACCTCCATCTTGGTGTTCCTCAGCCCTTATTAGCATAAACCCATTGCCCCCTAAGTTTAGGATCGAAACTTTTGAATTCTTATTGCCAGTGTGATCCTGTAGAGTTCTGAAAAGAGCATGAAGCTCAGGGCAGACCTTTGTGCTAGTTAAACTGAACTAATAACTGACTGATTTTGTAATAGTTAAATTGAACTAATAACTGACCAAGTATTCATATTTTTTGGTGTGACATCGGCAAGTTCTTTGAGGAAGCATATTTAATCGGCTCTGGTGGCACGGTGGTGACATGTTGGCCTGCTAACCATAAGATCAGCAGTTCAAAACCACCAGCCTCTCTTTGGGAGAAAGACAGGCTTTCTATTCTCTTAAAGAGTTACAGTCTCGGAGATCCACAGGGGTGGTTCTACCCCATAGTATAAAGTCGCTATGAGTTGGAATTGAGTGGTGGCAAGGAGTGTTTTTGTTTTGTTTTGTGTCTTAAGGCTGGCTCTATCGTGAAGGATGCAAACAGTAGCTTCCGAGGGGTGCTCATTTGTAAGATTTCATGCTTGGAAGGGAGCCGGGTTTCGTTGATTGAATCCCAATCATAGGTGATGTCTTATCTAATTCATCAGGCTTGAGCTGATCAAATTTGCTCGCTAGAGTGATGTTCACTGCTGTGCTTTCAGGTGGGAGATGCATCGTTGGCAGGGAGCAGGCGAAGCTGTGCAGCTGCAGTGGCTGAGTGAGTCAGGTACTGAGGCCACTCGGGCAAGCCTTCCTGCAATTCATGTGAGACGCGTCCTGAAAGACAAAGCGTCTGGCGGTCTGGAGGGTGTTCTTTCGCCCTAGGAATCCAGAGTACATTAAGGTCTAGACGATGCATGTTTCAGGGTAGAGGAGGGAGGGGGAACTAGCAGATGCGATATGCCCGCGATGTGACGGAGGTAGCACTGAATCGAGGATGCCGGCTGCTGCCAGACTGTGCATTGTGAGGACGGCAACAACAGCAGAGCCGCGGCGGGAGCAGCAGCCCGCTCAGAAGCAGTAGCATAAACAGCATCCAGAGTAGGCCCTTCTCTTTTGAAAAGCCGGAGGCTGCCGCCTTGTGAAATGCAAGAGCCTCTGGTGGTGGACTGTCTCCCGAGTTGAGGATGGCTGCTGTAGAAATGTGGCTGCGAAACTCTGCTCATCTGGACAGCCTGCAGCACCGGGTGTTAGCCACAGTTCGGTCAGGGAAATAAGTGAGACTCGCTGTCAATGTTGTGAAGACACAACTCCTTCGGGAAGGAAGATCTCAAATGACCTGAACAAGAACGAAAAAGGAAAACGAAGTTTTGGCATGCCTACAGGACTGTTGATTTGTTTTTCCTTTAAAGAAACTACCTAGGAGGCAGAAACTAAGGGTTGGTTTGCCCATGCCTCCTACCTGGGAGTGGAAGGTGGGAAGAAATGGACAGACAGACACTCTGATGAGACAGCCAGGCACAGTGCAGCGTGGTGAAGCCCCACGCTGACGGCAGCCGGCTCTCCTCTTCATGCAGTGCTGTGGGCTGGTGCATCGGAGGCAAGTCCGGGTGTCCTATGTAAGTTTCTGTTGCTGTGGGATTGTGGCTAGGGGCTGAACCTGCCATCTGTGTCTGTCGGGTGCGTTTTGCCTCTGTCGGATGTATGTCATCCCTGTGCTGAGGCTCAATCATTTGCACAAAGAGATTTCAGGGCACCTGATGTGCATGAGCTTCTGAGATTTGCTGGCAATGTGTATTTTAGTCCTCTCTAGTGCCATGTTACTCTGAGAAAGGTGGCAAATCACTTGCCCTGGGGTTGCTTGGGAAGCTGATTGCCTCAGAGACCTGTGCCTGTGCAAACCAGTTGATATTCTCTTTCTCCTAGAGGAGTTCTGTCTTCATATTTGAACTATGGCATGCTTGGTGGCCGGGTGGATGGTGGGGGGGGATCTTTCCCAGCAAGAAATAATACAGAGCTGGTCAAATTACAGCTGGTCATAGAGGCTCACACTGACACAGATTTTGATCAGTCTCAGAGAAAGAGTGGCTGATCCTTGTTTGATGGAAGATACAGCTGTTGCAGCAACGCCAGCGTTTGCACAGCTTTATCATCCTGGGACGATTTTGCTGGAGATTGAAATAGCCTTTTATTTCACGGACCTGCTGTGTTTTGCAAAATGGCTGTCTGGGTATTAAATTCTAAAAGGAAGGTTTCTAAAAACACCTAAGTATCAGGATTGGATGACTCGAAATATGCTGTGCAGTATGCTAGCCCACGAGCTCCCAGCAAATGCCAGCTGTATTTCCTTACTCCTTTACCATTAAGCCACTTGATTTTCAGGGAGTGATGTGAGAGGGCGCCGGCGGGGGATGCAGGCTGGCCAAACTGCAGTGTTGAGCTGCCAGGCATTGGCTGGAGATGCCTTCAAAACACATAGAAAACCCTCCAAGAAAGCTGATCAATATGTTAAGGTGTCATGTGGAGAAATCTGCGACCTTGGAAAATGGGCCAGTAGACGATAATTCAGGTGACGCTTCCGGTACAAACAAGGTCAAAATCTGAACTGATCTAAATAAGAAAGTTGAAGGCAGTATGTGGGAAGGGACCACTACATTGCTAGCCAATCTTAAAGAAAACATCCCATTTAAAAAAATTACCCAAAGCACTGAAACCCCTGGAGTTTAAAGGCTTTCATAATTGCTGTATGTCCAGTGCTATTTGTTTCCTGAATGCAACAGTTGATAGCTGAGCAATACATGTAGTGTTCAGCTAGCAGGCAACACCTTTTAAAGATGACATCTGCAGAGAGATGTCTGTGTTCTGGGGGAAAAAAAAGAAGAACTTCTATTTAATAAGATGGGAGACCAAGTGGTTACAAAGTTTTTAGTCTGTAAAATTGTCCACATCAAGAAATCCTAAATTCAAAATCTTTCTCTCTATAGAATAGTGAAAGAGGAGAACTCTCTAGCTTTATATATTTCTGTTTATTCTTAAATAATGAATTAGAAGCATTCTAAAGCTGGGTAGCCAATGGAATCAAGAATTCACCAATAAAGCATCAAACAGAGCAATAATTCTTACCTGACTTATTTTTGACCTTTACTGACATTGAGCTTGTCATAGGGAGAGGAGACAGCCTGGTCTGCATCTTTGGAGGGAGTACTGATGGAAAGGGATGAAGGTTTGATTCACCTACTGATTCTCAAACTTTCCTGTCTTTTTGTTAAGGAACCAAATACTTCTTGCAGCAAAATGCCTTTTGAAGATAAAAGACATGTCTACATCTGGGTCACTAGAAAATGAATTTTCCCTTAGTTTAGAACATTTTTTTCTCTTGGGAACTCTAACTTGTAGCCCACCTGCTGCTGTTTGAGCCTCTCTTCTTGGGCAGGTGAATAGGTGGGTTGCAGTCAGTGTTTTGTAGGTGGGCAACTCAAAGCACTAGGCATGTTCAGTCTGAAGCATACTTGATTTTCATGGTGGAGAAGAGTCATGACGTGTCCTTCTGGCCATGGGACCGCTCATGTGCCTGTAAACCATATGCTGGGTGGAGTTTGGAGGCTGCTCACTGAATAATCCAGTGGACAGCAGGGCAAAAGGGCAGCCCAATCCCTCTGTAGCGCTAGTGATGGAGGCCGGATGGCTAAATCAAATGGGCTGCCCAGGTGTTCTTTTGCGACAGCATGGGGACTCAGGCCATATCAACATTCCATTCCAACCAAAGCTTAGAAATTAGAGGGGGACTGAGAGATATAGATCCTCCACCAGTTCACATACTTTTTAAAAAAGCATATAAGTGACAGCTTTGTTAAAGATTCCTCCTACTCTAGCATCATTATCTCTCCGCAAGAATATAAAAGATATGTGGGCTTCAAATTAAGTTACACGTATACGCCATCGTTCTTCATTTCAACCCCCCCTCTTCCATTGCTGTCACCTCGATGAGATAGATTCTCTCCCTCCTCTAATTGTTTGACTTTGCTTTCATGTTTAAAGACTGTTCTGTGAGCAGCGGGCTCTCTGTGGAAAGAAGTTTTGCCCTTTCTCTGAAGACTGCAATGAATGCATAGACCTCTCTTTTGGGTTTCATGAATTCTTCTCTACATCTCCCTCACTGCCATTGAGTCAATTCCACTTCATAGTGACCCTCTAGTACAGGGTAGGGCCACCCTTGTGGGTTTCCAAAACTGTAACTGTTTATGGGAGTCGAGAGCCTCATCTGTCTCCTAGGGCACCTGGTGGTTTGTACCTGCTGACCTGTGGCCCTCAGCCCACTCCGCCACCTTGTCCCCATCAATTTGTTTCCACCGGAATGGCATTCTTTTAGAGCCCAGTTCATGTCTCCCAAGTAATTCCTGTCTTCACATAAACTCTCTTGCCATTTTCTTTTATGAACTGGCATGAAAATCTCTCATCTGGATAAATACTCTTAAATTTAAAAGAATATAAAAACATGAAAAACAATGCACACATTCTGTAAAGAACTTCTGGAACATTGGCATTTGGATGTTTGGGGGGATGGAGATTGGTGGGAACTCTTTTTGAGAAACTTTTGAGTGAAATAGAGTGTGCCTGCAGAAGAGTGGGGAACGTGTGTTGAACTTGATGGATGCTCACCAGTGAACAGCCCTGTGTGACAAACACCCAAATGAGGAACCCTGCCTTATTGGCACTGACACTCCCTTTTCCAATGGCCATTTGCCTGGGCCTTCCGCCCACCAGTATACTGACTTTTAAGACCATGCATACTATTCCCTGGTGGCATAGTGGTTACGCGTTGAGCTGTAACCTGTCAGTTGTGACCCCTTTGGGGGTCGACTGACCCTTTCACAGGGGTCTCTCGGATTCATAACAGTAGTAAAGTTGCAGTGATGAAGTAGTAACGAAAATAAATTTATGGTTGGGGGAGGAGGAGGGGAGGGCCACCACAGCATAAGGAATGTATGAAAGGGTCGTGGCATTAGGAAGGTTGAGAACCATTGCCCAAAAGGGTTCCATTCTGGAAAACCCTCAGGGGCAGTGCTTCCCTTTCCTAACGGGTTGTTAGGAGTCAGAGTTGACTCCCTGGCAGTGTTTTTTGAAGATCCTGGATTCTTTTTCCCCGTGTCTGAATTCTACATGAATGGACTCATACGTTTATGCCGCTGTGCCCAGCTTATTGGCCCATGCAGTTGTAGGTAGTTGTAGCTCGCTAACTCTCCTTGCTGTATAGTATTCTCATGTGTGACTAACCTAGTCAAAAAGGCACACCCTAGTCAAATCCTACTCTTGATGGGCATATAAGTGGTTTCCAAGTTGGTACTGTGACAGACAGTGCTTCAGTGCTTTTGCATCTGTCCTTTGTGCGACTGTTAATGCGTGTGTTCTTTTGGGCTATAAATATAAAGAATGATTTGGGAATAATGAGGGCAACAAAATGTATAGATGTGCTTTACACAATTGATCTATGTATTGTGATGAATTGTATGAGCCCCAATAAATTGATTTAAAAAAAATCTAAAGAATGAACTGGTTCCTTCACAAGGTATGCATATATTCAGCATAAGTAGTTACTGCTAAGCCTTTTCCGGCGCAACTTGATCAATTTATAGTCTCCTCATCAGCAAGACTTAATATTATCTTTGAAATTTTAGCCAATCGACAGAGTATGTGGAAGGACTCTATTGTGGCTTTATTTTACATTCCCCCCAAGAACAAAGGAGTCAGACACCTTTTTGTATATTTTATTGCCCATTTGGAAATCCTTTCGTCAAGTTCGTGTTCAAGCCTCTTGCCTTCTTTTCCAACTAAGTTATCTGTCTCTTGAGGGTTTTTTGTGTCCAGAAAAGAACGAATGAGGAGAAAAGGCAACTAGTGTCTATGCATGAGGTACGTTGCCTGATCATTGAACCTGAGTCTCTCGGCATAAAAGATAAGAATGATACCAGAGAATTACCAGTTGTTTTGATGTCTGTGTTAGTTGTGTAATGTCAGCTGTCTTGGAAAGTTTTGGTAAGTGAACTAGATGTTGGAGAATGGATTGTCCATATACAGGTAACCCTGCATTGACTTACAATTAGATTCTGTTCAACTGTGGTCTTAAGTTGTTTCGATGTTAAGCAAAACTTCATCTTACTTTATTTTTCATTATTACTGCCTTTTATTATCAGTGTCTTTATAAATCCATACTGTCTTTCTTTGTATTTTGGGGTTACCATGAGAATGAGAATGTCAGTACATTAAGTGCTTCCATGGTGCATGTAGTATATATTACAAATGATAAGATACACAAAACAAAAAATGCAGTCTTCAGTCACTCAAATGCCTTGTAAGTTGGGAACTGCCTTTACTTCATATAAGAGTATCCAAGGGTAATCTGAGGGAGCTTTGAAAAGCTTGTAAGGAAAGCCCCTCGTTGCTACATAACTAGGTTGCCACATCACACCATAAGCTATCCGTGCCCTACTTATTACTAATATCTAATAAAACCAAAATATCCTTAGCTGATGATCACATCTGAGCTTTGTAGTAAGATGACCAATGATAATACATTTTTTTATATTACATCATTTCTGAGCAGCGCAGGAAACAAGTAAAC